CCCAGAGCAGCAGGGAAGGCCTCTCCTGGGGGAAAGCCACCAGCTTGCCCAAATCTAGGCCTGGAGACAAGAGCCCACAGACAGGAAAGCTCATAGCCGATTTTTGGTGTTGCTCCACCTCACTAGAGATGATTTTCTCCAAAGGCTTTATCCTAGATGAATTTTTGACACCTCCAGTCCATGGTGGTACAGGCAGAGGCAGGGGCAGGCAGCCTGGAGGAGCTCTGCTTGCCCTGAGCCTGCCCAGCTCTGTTTGCAATCACCTCTCGCCCCGAGGCCACAGCAGGGTCCTTCTGAACTCAGCCCAGCCTGGCTTTCTGTTCTTCATACTTTCAACCTGGAAGCAAGAACCAATTTGTTAAGCAAAACCAGCACCATGCATTGGCTGAAACTGATTCACATTTATCTGAGCTGAACAGAGAAATTGCAACGTGGGCTGACACTAAGCTGCCAACCTGTTTCTGAAAAGGTTCTAGCTCAATTCTTTCAAACCTTCTACAACAGCTCCTATTTTTGCAAGAACTCATCCAAGAACCTGGGCCTCCAAACATTTCTATTTACACACACACACAAAAAAAAAAGGCAACAAGCCACAATGAGATTTTGCTTGAATCCTGGTATGTCAAAGCCATACAAAGAGGCTCACGTTCTTCTGGTCATGTCCAGTTCCACACCATTACCACAGGGAACCTACCAGGGAAATCTCTGTGTATCGAAGCAGTCAAACGTACCCAACCAGGAGCCCACCTCAAAGTACCTCAGTCCTCAGAAAACTCTTCCGGAAGACAGGAGAAGGTGACACCACATTGCTGGGCCAGCAGCAACCAGAAGTGCTTTGGGACAGACACTTGGCCACAGCAGAAGATGAAGCACTTGACATCTCTGTAACTGGCTGAAGCTCACGTCAGTGCTCCAGCGAGGTGCGCAAGGGCAGAGGGAGGACAGAGCTGCAGCACCAAACCTCCGCCAGGGCACCGAGGGCAGCAGGCGGAGCCCCTTAAGGCTTCTTGAATCGTTAATGACTGTGTGTTACCTGCACATGCAGGCAAGGGTATTTTCTCCAAACAACCGCTGCCAAGGCCAAACACTAAACGTGATTTAACTTAGTGCTGGAAGGAAAAAAACAAACCAAACCAGTCTTTGAGAAGTAACTTTGCAACTAAGCATCGCTCCAAGTCAGTGATGCATATAGTAGGTGCATCCTCCCACACCCCTTCATTCTCGGGTGCCTTTTAAAAACAGAAGATCTTTGCAAGTATCCCCAAACGAGCTGTCCTCAGCTCCCTTCTCAGGGAAAAAGCTGTGGTGTGTGGTTACCTCTGCAGGCATGATTATCTCTGAAGGGCCAGTCTGTGAACTACAGAGCAAGGAGTTTTAGTATCACCAATGCCACCGGAGATCCAGTCAAGGTGATCACACCCCTCCTGCTTCGATGTTACTGCATCAGTATTGTGTCACGCGGGACATCCTTGGTACCAGATCTTCTCACAGAGAACCACACAGCAGAACACCGAGGCAAAAGCCCCCTCCCCGACCTTGGTTTTGTCTGTACAGTTAATCACAGCTGCATTTCTACCAGTTATAGCTCTGCCTCTGACCGTTCCTAAGCAACCACGCCTATTGCTCAGGGCTCAGTCTGTCAAATTGGGCCCTGAAATGCTTAAGAGGATCTCAGGCAGGGTGACGCAGAGGAGGGAGAGTCCTTGCCCAGCTCCGGGCAGGACCAACTCCGCCAGTGAAAGCCATCAACACACACAGGAGAAAAAATAGTTAAGGGAGACACAGCAACAGGAGGCACAACAGCAGGAGCCACAACGTACAGCGGGATCAGTTACAGCTCGAATTCCAGGGCCTCCCCCAGCTCACCCACCACAGCACATCTCGTACAATTCAGGAGCCCATCACTCAGCTGGAAAACAGCATTACAACAAGTTACATGAATTTACTCCTTACATCAGCTCATGATCAGTTTTCTCCCCCCAAGAATTCCCTCACAGCTGTGGGCCTCAGTTGCATCTTCAGTTTTTACCCAACTAGCTTGGCTTTTCTGTCTGTCCTCGCAGAACAGGGAGGGACCTGCCCTGCACAGCCTCGCCTGTGCCCACTGAAATGTCTTGACCTGGCGTCTGCTGTACAGCGAAGCCAGCGCAGGGACTGAGCTGGCCACAGCCTCATCTCTCTAACTAGCAGTCTTTTGTGAAACACAGCCAGAAATGGGGTTACGAGGTGTGTCATCTTCACTCGGAGATCTTAGAGCGACTTCTTGTCAATGCCGTGTGATTCCAGCTCGCAGGCAACAGCACTGAAGGTGCTCTGTCCTGTTAAAAACCCATCTCGGTGCTTCCTCTTGAGCCCTAAAACCAAGAATTATTTGAGAACTATCCGTTCCCATCCCCTCCCCATCTCTTGGAGTTTTCTGTGATGCTGGGGCGCAGCTTGAAGGACCCAGGGGACACCCATGGTCAGTCAAGGCGACTGCGCTGCTGCCAACACAACCTGGGCCCCCGGAGAGCACAGCAGCGACAGAGCAAAACCGAAACCAGGCCAGCTGGAAGTGGGAAGAGTTTTTCTCCAGGAGAGCTGAGGGAACCGGGGAGCCAGAGTAGCCAGCCAACAGCGTGCTGTTAACACACCTTGTAAGAGTTAAAAATTTCTCCCCCCATGTTCTCTCTCTTCAACATTGTGTAAGAGCCAAAGATAAAAACCCAAACCACAATTTTGACCGTTCTTCCTGACCCAGAAAATGGTATTTTTCATCTACTTTATCTCCTTTTTCAAAAAAATACATATCACACCAACCTCAGGGTTTGTTTCCCTCAGGACACTCATTCCTTTCATTTTTCCGCACTAAACTCGCTTCTGCGTAATGTAAATAAACATCACCAAAAAAAGACACTGCAATAAACTATTTTCTCTGGAACCCCCTTGCACACGCTAGTTAAGCCAGTGACAACATGTGGTGCAAAGGTAAGTGGTACCAACTGCAACAGCCAAACCCTCTGTGAAGAGAAAGCAAACAGCAACGTGGGCTCAGCTGATCCCGTGTCCACTCCACATCGCAGCATCAAACATCCAGAAGTCTATCCCAAATTGTCACCCATTAGCACCAGCCGTGACACAAGCTTTGCTCTAGACAGACCACCACGGACACGCCGCATGAGGATTTAAGTCACACCAAGCGCTTGGCTCTTTTATGTGAGAATAGAAAATAACGTTTAAGTTCTGGTACAGAAAGTCAACTGAGCTCTGCATCTCTCGCCAGTACAGTCTGTTCCAGGCAGATAAGAAACAAGTGTTAGCACAAAGCCCAAAGCAGAACCAGTCCAAGCAGAAGTGGAGAAGAAACCTCAGAGGGAAATGCAAAAGAGATATGAGAACCAAAAACTTACAGCTTTTGATTTTCTTGCTCACCAAGGACAAGAGTTTCCCAAGTTGATGGAGTCTTAATTGGTAAAGAGAAAACCCCAAACCTGGCTGTCAGCCCCAAGGACCTGGCTTCCTTGAACTTCTGTCTTTCTCAGCAGTCAAACTGAGCAAATGTCTTTACTAATTTCTCACGTTTTGTATACTATTTCACATAATTTCTCAGTGAAGGAAGCCCTTTGCACAACAAACCAGCTACATTGCTTATACTGTGCTCATCACCAAGATCCAAGCATCCTGTCAAGTACATTGACAGAAGTCAGCAAAATCCAACAACGCCACAGACATTTTTATTTTTGCATAATTAGTCCTCTCAATTAAAATACTCATTCCATGGTGAGTAAGGCCAGGGTCAGCATCACCTCCTAACAGATTGTTAAATTAATTTTGCTCGGAAGGAATTGCTTTTTTTTCCCCCCCTGGTGGAGTAACTGTTCAGCCACAGGTATGTGCCAGTGGTTAAAAAAAGTTTAGTTTCTCAAAGCACCATCTGCATTAACAACATTCATTCTCAGTAGTGTATTTACAATATAAAACCAGTATTGCTCTCTTCATTTATTTTTACAAAAACCTTCATGAACAGTAAGGATTAATTCTGCAGATCTCTTCTCGTCATCTGTCTGCAGCGAAATGATTCAGACTCCCTGAAGTCACCTACTACCAACTCCACCACTCCCTGCCTGGGCTAGCGGGACCTCCCAAGCTGCCCCAAATTCCACATTTCTGCAGTTATTTAGCTGACCCAAAGCAAGGCAGCTCCTTGCTTGTTTTCCTCCCCATCTCCAGGATTTTCATACAGCTCATGCGCCAGCAGCGCAGGTACAGCAAAGGTTCCATCAAAGCAACTTCTTTACCAAGAGGCATCCAAAGATTTCCTGATCTTTTGCCAGGGAGTCTTGCCTTCTACCAAGGCTACAGCCAAATGCCTCAATTCAAAAGGCTTCTTATTCCAAGTCATGCTGAAGCCCATTCTCACCATCCTTGAGCACTTTCACATCTACACCAGAAGCGATATTCTCACTGTTGGCGAAGCTGCTGCGCGCAAACTCAGAGGAACTCCTCTGCTCCGTGATCGTTTCTTCCACTAAGGAATGGTGGGACTACGGAGAGGCAGCGACTAGGACCAACATTATGGCTCAGGCTTCACCCTACTCCCCGAGTTCTCTCTCATCTCCCTCCTTCTTCAGGATTTTCTAGGATCGCTCCCCACCTGCAAGAACAGCATCTTAGCGCCCCGGCACCACCTTTACAAAAGAACAAGAAAAACCAAGTACACCTAAGGGAAACTCCAGCTCCATCAGCGCCCCGCTTCGCCCGCGGCCCGGCCTCCCCACACGTCCCACTTGTGGGCTCTTCTCCTTGGAGTCTGCAACCTTCCCAGGTGCCGAGCCAAGAACACCAAGATGCTTCAGCAGTCAACAGCAGTCTCCACAAAGATGTTCAGATCAACCATGGACACTGCACTGGCAGCAACGCTCCTTTAATCTCCAGAAGATGGTTCATCTCACTGGTCTCACCACCTCCTATGACTCCATGTGCACTTAGAAGACAAAAATTTAGACAAATTCTTTTGTTGTTTTTTGTTTGTTTGTTTTGTGGGGTTTTTTTTAAAGGCTTGAGTTTTTGCTGCCCATCAGCACTGTCTCGGCATATTGCACAATGTTTTCTTTATTATAAAAAATTGTCTTCTGTATCAGGCAGGAAGAAAGACAGTTTTCTCAGGAGGCTAATGCGTGCTATTGTCTGTAGTTAGAGGTAAGTGGTTGTTTGTGTGGCCATCAGGAAGTGAGACCTAGTGAAACAAAAAGAAAGCATTATTAACAGAATGTCCCTTCCCCAAAAATTAAAAAAAATCTGCTCGCCACCCCACCTTTCTCCCCATATAACTTTGTCAGTAGACAAACTTCAACCAAAATTTGAAAGAAAGGCAGAAGTCTTACAGGCTACCTACAGCCTCAAATAGGAAAAAGTAAAATAAACCCAAGTAGTTACTAGAAAAGCAATCCTATCGATGCCCAATGGAGGGAAAAGTAAAAGACCGCTCGGCTCTTTCACACTCCTGGGCAGCAGCCCGCAGGCTAAGGAGTTGCAACACCAAAGCCCTGCAGCACGCAGGGTCTCTTCTTCAGATGCGAGGGGAGGCTGATGCAGCTTAGAAAACGCGTCCCTTTTGTAGCAATATGAAATTGTTGAATATCTGCTCATATGGATGTCAAGGGGAGGGTTTATTGCAGGCACATTAAGTTCTGCTGCGATCAAGCCCCAAAGTTGTCCTTATCATCTCTCCTCAGGTAGCTGTGCCACTTATTTAACACTTAGAAAAAGTTTTTCTTACCGATGCGGATTTGTGAGAGCCCAGTCTGAAACGGCAAAAAATAATTTCTGCTACAAATCTTCCAAAGCCATGTAAAACTCCTGCAATGTCAAACAAGATTTAAATTGACATACATAATGAAAGCGTGGCATTTACAGAAGCGTTACAACAAAACTCTGCATGATACTTAAATGAGACAGAGTGCAGCAAGCCAGTATGTAAAACACTGAGAAATTAACATAAGAAAGGAAACATCAAGGGCAGGGGCAATTCTAACATTCTGAAATGCATCAATAAAAGCAAAACCAAAGCTATCCAAGCAAATCTATTTCCCTGTCTGGCTTTCATGAGTGAAAACACATTCCACAGGACAGAAATACTACTTTGAAAGAGAGCTCTTAGTTCAAGGTCTCTTTACTATGCTCTCCTCAAGTGAAAGAAAATAACTCGTAATCAAGATACCCTATTATGTCTTGACTAATAAGTAAATCCTGTCTTTTCAACTGGGATTTTTGTTGGTTTTTTTGCAGGAGCAAGTCTCGCAGCACACTGACAAGTTACACAAGGAAAATCCTCCCAGTTACCTCAGATGGAAATTTTATCTCAACTTTTGGCACTGATTTGGCACTGGATCCCAACTATAGGAAATACATAGAATACCAGAAGTCAGTGTGTGTGTATGTATATATATCCACACTTATATCTATCTCCTCACTCTTCCAGAAGTAAATAAACTATACTATAGTTACCAAAAAGGAAACCACAGGCTCTCAGACCAGCAGAACTGGCATACTGGGACATCAAAAATGAGGAGCTTTCATTGCACATTTCAGTGCACACAAATGGGCTCTTCATCTGCGAGAGGTTCAGGGCTCCCCTGTCATTTATTCATAACATAATCAGCATGACCAAAAAAAATTAAAATCTGGTAGATCTTAAGAGGGAAAGCACTGATAGTTACCTGTAGTTGAAAAAATTCCCCCAATAATGCCACAGAGCCTCACTAAGAACTGCCAAAAAGGCATGTGTTCCTCTGTCACTGTTACCATAAGTGAACTGATATCATACTTCATGAATATTCCTGACACTCCATGGCTGCCAGCTGCATGGTTAATTACTCTTTCCTGAAAGAAGAGGGAGAAACACGAGTTAAGCCACTTTTTATTAGTCACAAGGAAACTCACCTTCAGAGATGTGATGACAAAGAGCTACTTAATCAGAGTTAGCAATCAACAGGAGAGCAGGGAACATCAAGACAACTTTGGCCAGGACCTTCTACAGGTCAAACATCATCAAGCGACAATTTACTTTCCTGGTCTCTGTGCTGCAAATCAGTGTTTGCTGTCAGGCTCGGATACCACCCTCTTAACATTTGCTTAACATGGTCCTTAAAGAAGGATGTTTACAAGCAGGTTGCTTTAGGTACCCAAGAGGAGAAGTGCCACAGGCTCGGTCTAGCCCGGGAACTCAAGCGAGTGCGCTGGTGAAACACAGAGCCCCAGCTCTGCCTACATGACGTGCTCCTATTAATCACCTAAATTGGGATGAGACATTGAAGCTGTCGAACTATGTTAGTCATGGCAGTTTTCCCAGAGGGGTATATAAATCCACCTACTGCATCTAAGATGCATCAAGCTTTATCCTCGTCCTTCCTGAGACCGTATCCCTAGATTCACACGCCACAGAGGATTCTTTCGCTTCTTAAAAGCATCAGGAAAGACCGTGAACTAGAGTATACCATAACAGAAATTCAGAGGCCTAAGTTAGATTAGAACAATGCCTTTTTGTTCCCTCAGTGCATACTTACACGTATGCCATAATCCATTAATTTGACAGGAAAAAAACCCAATATAATAATTGCTGAGGTCTGAAAACTGAATACAGGGATAAAGCCTCTTTTCAAAATTTCTGTCAGTCAGGTCTTTTCAGGCGACAGCAAACAGCACGAAATACACCTTGATACAAATAATAACTAACTTTTCATGACTACGCAGAACGGATGCCTCAATCCTAATTCAAGAACTTCTACTGTTTCTTCTCATTTGCCCAAATTCTTAAAACAAAAGCCCTCAAAGAGGAGAGTATGGCTGCTATAAATCTCCATTTTTTAAAAAAGGTTTCAGGAGAAAAAGCCCTCCACACAATCTTAAGTTTCTTTCAGAAGTTTGCTGTCATTCTGTTGTTAGTGAAAGTTGTTGATAAATGCACTGCTGGGTAAGCCTGGCTGAAAATATACAAGGGCAGCAGAAAAAGAACATAAATGACTGAAAACAAACTCAGCCACGTCTGGGATAATAAGAGTAGAGAAGACAGACAAGCAAGATTGAACAGAAAAGCAATACATCACTGCTCCATCTCATCTGCAGATTTAACAGTCTGTGCTCAAAAACCATGCAGAACACAGTACAAAACAAGCACAATGCCATTTCTGAAAATACAGACTAGGCAACTTCTCCAGCCAGCAAATGTTGACATAAACAAAATTGCTTCTTTTGCTACCAAACCGAAGTTAAAAGGATGCCAAAATAATGAATCAGTTACAATACCAGGTCACAGAAACAAAACAAACCATGACAAAACAAAACAAAAGTCCCAGACCAGTAGGGAATGCTTTCTATACTTCATGATCATGAGAACATGCAGCATTAGAGGAGGGCTGATCAGGCCTACCAAGAAAGAAGACTGAAGGTAGTTAAACAGAAAACTGCCATTGGCAAGGGACAAAAAATTATTTTTTGTTTGTTTTTCCTCTTATTTCCCTAAGCCTTATTGGTCTTCTGAGGTCAAATGGTGGAAGAAAAATATGAACTTAAACAGAACGCCCAAAATTTCACCCTTGAAAAGGTACATAATTTTTCTTCCACACACCATTTTGGACTGCTTCTAGCTTCTACAGCTGCAAAAGACTTAACTGTTGGTTGTGAAAACCTGTTGAAGGTAACTAGCCCTGCATCGGGCATCTCGGGTATCAGGAAAGCCTTGCTCGAGTGAAATCTTTTTAACAGGAATAAACACCACATCTCAAATATTGACAATACTGGAGATAAAGTCACCCTCGCCACTGGCAAGTAAACCTCACTGTATTCACGTTCTAGCCACGGCTGGCTCAGCACCTTTTGCCAGATCTGCACATGTGCCTACTCTTATAAAATAAACACCCCGAGTCATTCAGTGTTAACTGTTTTCAACAGCCTTTCCCAGCTCACCTGCTCAGGTATCTGGTTTCCAAAGATAAACACAAACAAGTTTTACAAGCAACAGGGCTGCCTCCTGAGACAACAAGAGCAAGCAAGTACCTAACACCCCTTCACCTCCACTACTTTCAAGCTTTCCTCCTAAGCAACCTGTGACTATTACAACTTTCATGAAAAATATGTCCCCACAAAAAAAAAAAATAGAGCTACAACAGCAGTTAATTGGTAGAAATCATCTTTACAGAAGAAGGAAAGTTTATTGCATTTTTTTTTCATCTTGTATTAGGGATGTAAGATAAGCAGTTGACTGATGTCCAGAAGTTTAAGGAGTGCCTTAGTTGTTGTGGAGATTATGCAGAGAAAACACGAAACAGATTGCCAGACTAGCAGGTCTCATCCAGAGATGACAGTATATTGCATTATGAAATTCCTCTTCATTCCTCTCTTCACTATAGCTTTCCTGAGTTTGAGCGAGAACCCTTCCCTTCAGCACTCTCCATGTCTCAAGTCGAACCCCAAGACATCACCTCTATCCAACTCCCCCTAGCTATGTATTTTTCAGAAGAGCAGCATGCAATTTGGAGTAAATAAGGATTTTTTTTCTCCCTTGGAGAACACTACAAACTGTGTTACAGTGAACTGCCATCCTAATCTCTGAATTTCCTTTCAAGCCAAGGCTTCTTTCCCACTTCTTACTAGATCTGTCACTTTTAATTAATTTTTTCAAATATTTTTTCTTTGGCTTTTGAATAAAAGATCAAAACAGAGTTCAGCATCTGGAAATGAGACACGCAACCAGTACACGTAAGGCCTTTTTCTTATTTACAGCAGTCTTTAAAATTAGCACCTTACGATTTGCCATGTACTATCCCCGCAATAACTACTTTCTTTATGGATTCAGAATTATAAGCCTCTCCAGGCCTAGAAGTGGAAGCTCTCTAGTCCAGAGAATAATTAAAGCTGGCGATTCAACAAAGGTTAAACAAGACAGCTGACACACAAACACACTTTCTGTGTGATTTGTTTTTCATACAAACCTTTGTTTTAATTTCTAACATGCCACAACCAAGTTCATGACACGAGCTGCGGGTTTTGGTTTGCTTCCCACACAGATAAAAAAGTTAAAAGGTGAATTAAGTATTTGTAAAGCTATGCACATGATTACGGACCTAAAACTTACAGGATTTCCCAACTACCACAATTACTAGCATCCCGTGAAGCAGCAATGACTGGATATCTATCATTAATTCTAATAACAGACTCTGATCTATGGATGCAAAGCACTACTGTGAGAAGTCAGTATGTGTCACTGAGGTGGTACAGCGCCTGGTGTCACACTGTGATGTCAGGACAAGCCAACATTTGTGTTCTTCTCTTGACTGTAAATGCAATGAGTGTGACATCTGTTACTTTCCTGCCCTGGGTACGGTACAGTCAGTTACTCCCTAAGTCAGTTACTCATGAGGTTCAACAAGGCCAAGTGCAAGGTCCTGCACCTGGGTCAGGACAATTGGCATTATCCATACAGGCTGGGGGACAATGTGATAGAGAAGGAGCCCTGCAGAGAAGGACTTGGGGGTACTGGTGGACAAAAAGCTGGACACGAGCCACCAACGTGCGCTCACAGCCCTGAAGGCAAATCACATCCTGGTTGCATCAAGAGAAGTGCGGCCAGCAGGTCGAGAGAGGTGATTCTACCCTTCTTCTCTGGTGAGACCCCACCTGGAGTGCTGTGTTCAGCTCTGGAGCCCTCAACACAACAAGGACATGGACCTGTTGGAGCAGGTCCAGATAAGGCCACAAAAACGATCAGAGGGCTGGAGCGCCTCTCTCCTACAAGGACAGGCTGAGAGAGTTGGGGTTGTTCAGCCTGGAGAAGAGAAGGCTCCAGGGAGACCTTACAGCGGCCTCCCACTACCTGAAGGGGCTACAGGAAAGCTGGGGAGGGGCGGGGCCCAAGCGTGTGTGGCAACAGGACGAGGGGCAATGGTTTTAAACTAGAGCAGGGTAGATTTAGATTAGATATCAGGAAGAAGTTCTTTACTATGAGGGTGGTGAGACACTGGAACAGGTTGTCCAGAGAGGTGGCGGAGGCTTCATCCCTGGACACATTCAAGGTCAGGCTTGAGGGGGCTCGGAGCAACCCGATCCAGTTAAAGATGTCCCTGCTCACTGCAGGGGGGTTGCACTAGATGACTTTTAAAGGTCCCTTCCAGCCCAATGCATTCTAGGATAAGCACACTTGAAACTCCTCCTGCCTTGAACATAGTCTGCTCTGGAAGGTGTGAGAAACACCCGACAAATCACGAGAGAGACAGGCTCTAACTAAGCACAATGAGTGCGCTTGACCCCTTGACCAGACTGATGGTGGTTTGGTGCAGGCTCTTGAGAAGAAGGCCTGAGCTGTAGCTGGGTCAAGAGCTCCCCCAGTTCCATCTGTTCTGAACACCCACAATGGGGACATATCAATACAGCTGAGTTTGGAACATCAGTCATGCGATAAACACAGAAATAACAGCATTTTTTTCCAAAACTCATTTATCAAGGAACAAAGAAACCTGTGGGTACAAGAAGTCCCATGGCTACCTTTCCATCACATGGAATTTGATTACAAGCCAACCGCTTTACCCCATAAAAATGACAGCCTAAGTACTTTGAGCTCTCCAGGGCTGCAGCTGGCTGTGGCCTGGCATTGGGACGTTTCTCTGGGCAGGTTTTCCAGAGGCACCAACAATCACCTGCTGGCAAGTGCCGCAGAAAAGTAATTCGCTAGGATTTACTGCAAGAGCAGTAGAAGAATAACCTGGTACTAATTTACAAGTGCAGTAGAAGAAAAGTCTTGGCCATAAGTTAATCTCTGTGTGTGTGTGTGTGCACGTGTTTGTGTATGATTTAACCTCTATATTTGTGTGTCTATCTTTTGTGTATATAATTTAATCTCTGTATCTATCTGTGTATTTGGTTTAGGAAACTCTACTGTATTTTTTTTGCCATTCTCGAATCTTTAACTGAGTTGCTATGTTATTACGGTGAACCTTGTTAAATCATCCTGCTAACTGACTAATAGTTAAGCACTGTTATCCCCTTATTCCCTGCACCCCCACCCTTAGACATAAACCCCTGAAAGTCTAAGGCTAAATCTGGATCCAGCTGCACCGAGATTTCTCTCTGAGGAGTTTAGAAAGGATTCTGAATCTCATGACTCAGTGGGAAGGTCTCCCTTACCTTTTTCATCTCGAGCGTCTCTAAAGCATTTTAACTCAAGCGTAATTCAGCTCTCCCTTCTGTAATTCTTCAATGTACCAATTAAAAAGGTAAACCTTGCCATCAAACTGAACCTTCATAAATCTCTGTCAAACTTTGTTAAATTCCGTCAAATTCATTAAACTTTGTCAAACTATCACTCCATCTCAATAAAATGTTGCTTTCTTATTCTGAGTGAGGTGCACTCCACTCATTCTGTGGTGAGCGGGATCCTAAAGTAGGATTCCAGGTCAAGTGATTTAAGTGACTTTAACTACCCGTCCATGATAAATTGATGTAGCCATCAGGATCCTAAGTCAGGAATTCTGCTACAAGTGATTTAAGTGATCTAAAATATTCATCTGCAATAGATGAATATTCACCTACCATATATATTTTACCATCAGTACTACATTATTTACAGACACATCTAGTGCATTGGAACATTCTGCCAAGAGCCTCTTCATCCTAGAGGAGTTTTCAAAACCACAGCACAACTAAGTCTCCATTTTCACATTTGAACTTTTGTTAAGAACAATCCCTATTAGATGTTTCTCCACATGGTTTTCTCTTACTTCTACTTACCCTTTCTGTCACTGAAAACTGATGAGTTTCTGCTGAAATTTTATATGTATGGAGTTTGGTTGGCACAACTGTGATAAAATACTGGAACATCTGGTTGTCTAGAAGAAAACAAATCTCACTGTTGAACCAAGTACACAAAGACCATCTCAGACATTCATGAATAAATCAAACAAATAATATTTAAAATACTTAATCATCTAAGGCATTTACAGTACGGACATTCTTCAAGGAGTCCCATCACCTCAAGACTATTTCAGTACCATCTGCAGGAACAAAGTTAGTTTTCATGGGTAAGGCCTATGTCACATTTGTACTTAGAGAAATTTACATTTTACCCATGCGATGAAGAGATTCATTAAGGTTGGGCCACTCAAAGCTTCACATGAAATCCATAGACAGTGCTTTCCAGGACACTGGGAACGAGTTTCACACAGTCACATTCTGCATGATACGTATGTCTCAACAGTGGTTTGAGCAGATTTGAGCTCCTGAATTGTCTATGCAATGCTGGAAGCCCTTCTCAACTGGTTAAGAATTTCTCTCTTAATTCGACAGACTTTTAAAGAATTCTACAAGAGCAATCAGCGTGTTGTCACGTTTATTATTGCTCTGTCTTTGTGCCACTCCCCAACAGAACAAACACCAACAGACTGAAACAATTTGTTTCAACTAAACGAAAGCATTCTGGTGGGAACAGCCAGGGGATGGATGGACTGACTGACTGTGAGGCAACAGCAGCTGTGGAAGACTCTGGGGATCACTGCCCTGGGGAACACAAGTCAGAGGCTGTGGCGTAGGTAGTTCTATCAAGTAGGTTACTACACTCCTTTATTTATACATAAGTAATACACAAACCCTTCTGCAGCAGCCTCACCAAACACACTGCGGAAGCGACAACCCAAATACCGGAATAGAACACAGGATTTCTGACGCTATTTTTTCTAAACCAGATCAGGCTTATTTTTGACCATAACAACAATCATATCTATGAATCTCAGCTGCAGTATGTTTGGACATACCGTAACTTCAATGTAAAACAATCTGGAAGAAACTGAAAATCAGCTTCAGAGAAAGTATATCAATATTGATATCAAAAAGAAATTGTCTATTTAAGATGCCACGCAGATAATTGTACAGTGCACTGCTCGCTACCGGTAAATTTAGCAGAACATGCTGTTTGTAAATCACAGACTGACCTAGGCTGGAAGGGACCTTAGAGATCACTTAATCCAACCTCCCTGTCGTGGGCAGGGACGCCTCAATGACAACTCATGAAACATGGTCATATTTTAAATGTAATTATTGGAAAAATACAGAAAAAAAATTTAAACACACAACACTTACGATCTGATGCTATTTTTTCTGTTCCATCCAAAGGGTTAATAATTCCTGGAATAAGCTCTCCAAATGACAAATGATCTATTCTGTGAGAGAAGTTATAGGCTGAAAGACAATACAAGGGAGTGAAACAGCATTTTTAACCTATGAGATTCTGTACTCAAAGAAAAAGTTGCATCCATTTCTCACATTAGAAAACAGGTTAGTTAGAATATTTTGAACACTTGTCTGCATCTCATTGGATTTGTCCCAGTGACTAAATCAATACAGCTACGTACAGGTTTAAAAAAACCCCACAAAACAAAAAAAAAACCCACATCAAAGCAAATCCTAAATATTTAACAAAGAAAGCCAATTTCTGAATAAAATAACATCTAGAACAAATCATAACTCTATGTGAATCAATCCTGGAGCTGAAGAGTTGAAATTTCATTATAGGATTCTACAGTTCAGCTTCTTGTATGCAATGTGACTAAAGTGATTAAAATTTCATAAATGAAATGTACAGAGGAAACATAAGGCAACTACGAAGTTACTACATTGCCTCACTTTGCAAAGGCATTTAAGCTCTGTAATATTATACACTGGTGCTGACAGAAATTCATGGGCAGACGTTTGGAGGTTTAACCAGCACCAAGTTCATTTTTCAGAGTTAACTCACCTCTGCCTCATATAACCTAAAAATGGTTTTTGAGACAAAGGTCAGAAATTTTGAATGCTGTAAAAACAGATTTTGCAGGAAATAGGTAGTTTGGACTGAATTTCATACAGTATCTGTGTTACAACAAAACACAGGTGAGAGTCCTGTGTTACCATCACTGTAGAAGCAACCTAAAGATAATTCTAATAGAGTTAAACGTATGAAAGTCAAGTCACTACTGAGTCATAACACTGCACAGAATATTCTTCACTTTCTTCTACAATGCAATTCCATGACTAGAGCATCTTTATGACAACAATTATTTTAACATATCAGTTAAGGAGACAGCAGTCTGAATGAAACAATACCCTCTTGTACGGAAATGACAGAAAGAACTTACACTCGTGGCTTACAAGGGCTGCCAAGTGCGCATGGCCTCGAGGGTGTGGTATTGCCCTAAAGAAAGTAAGATAAGTTTTATGCAAAACTGGTTTAATGAATTCACACAAAAGGCACGGTCTTCCTGAACAGAGAAAATGTGCCTCTCTGCCTCTATTTCAATAAATAATATACATATATATAAATAAAAACCATGTGTCTATAGAAAAATAGATAGATATGTGCTCAAGGTCAAACACACCTGGGTCAGGGGAATCCCAAGCACAAACACAGGCTGGGGGATCAAGAGGTTGAGAGCAGCCCTGAGGAGGAGGGCTTGGAGGCGCTGGTGGATAAAAAACTGAACACGAGCCAGCACGTGCGCTCGCAGCCCAGAAAGTCAACCTCATCCTGGACCGCACCAGAAGCAGCGTAGCCAGCAGGTCAAGGGAAGTGATTCTCACCCTCTCTTCTGCTCTTGGGAGACCTCGCCTGCAGGGCTGTGTAAAGCTCTGCGGCCTTCAGTGTAAGAAAGACATGGACTGTTCGAGCAAGTCCAGAGGAGGGTCACAAAGATGATCAGGGGGCTGGAGCACCTCCCCTGTGAGGACTGGCTGAGAGTCGAAGCTGTTCAACCTGGAGAAGAAAAGGCTCCAGGGAGACCTTTTAGTGTGCTTCGAGTAAAGGCTGCTACTGCAGAGATGGGGAGGGACTCTTTATCAGGGAGTGTAGTGATAGGATCAAGGGGTAGTGTTTTCAAACTGAAAGAGAGCAGATGTAGATTAGCTGTTCGGAAGAAATTCTTTTCTGTGATGGTGGTGAG